AACCATAGTTGTTGTAATTATGAGTAATGTGTTTGGTTGATACTTGGTGGTACCTATATATGGCTACGGGACTAGTCTATTTATAGACTTGCAAATGAGTTGTGGGAGATATTTTGAAACCTCTTTCTTCTTTCTTAGTCAATATTGTGAACATGCATGGAATTTACTGGCGAGTTGCAACAACACTCTAGGCATTTTAAAATTTTCGTACAAATTTTAATTTGTGATAATATGGATGGGGAATGAATGACAAGATAATATCTCAATCACTGAGATAAGTATTTGAAGCAGGATATAGAAAAATATAGACGGTTTGGATCTTCAAACCACAAGGTATGGTAAGTGCAAAGAGTGGTTTAATTGAACACAGTGGTTCGTCCTCGCACGAAACTTTGCATAAAGGAGATGACGATTGACTTTACTTGAAGTCAAGCGTGCTGAACTGGGGAATGGACTATCAGCAGATGGTTACACTTGAAGTAAAGCCAAACTATGTCTATGGGTCCATGGACATATGCATACAACAGATCCCACGGTCTATCTACAACTCTAGTATGGAAAGACAAACCCGTCAAATCCAAAGGGTTAGAAAGTTGAAGTGGCTGTGTGGCATGTGAACCACCTAGTGGTTGCATTAATTTATGTGAAAGGAATGGTACTGATTACTGATGCGGAAGCTACAACATGTGAGCTTTTGTCATCGATGGTAACATACAATATTAATGAAAATAATCGAAGACGGTTTTCTAAAAAAACTTCATATATGGGTGGAAATAAATAATAAACAATTAAACAACACATCTATGTCTCTCAGTATTGATTACTGATGTGGAAGCTACAACATGTGAGCTTTTGTCCTCGATCGTTTACATAACTTTGCCACATACTCAAGTCATCGTGCTAAGCCGTATCTTCTAGGCTACTAGGAAACATAACAGACAATATTAATGAAAGGGGTCGAAGATGGTTTTCAAAAAAAACTTCATATATGGATGGAAAGAAATAATAAACAATTTAACAACATATCTATGTCTCTCAGTACTTGTTACTGATGTGGAAACTACAACATGTGAGCTTTTGTCCTCGATACTTTACATAACTTTGCCACAGACTCAAGTCATCGTGCTAAGCCGTATCTACTAGGCTACTAGGAAACATAATAGACAATATTAATGAAAGGGATCGAAGATGGTTTTATGAAAAAACTTCATATATGGATGGAAAGAAATAATAAACAATTTAACAACATATCTATATCTCTCAGTACTGATTACTGATGTGGAAGCTACAACATGTGAGCTTTTGTCCTCGATCCTTTACATAACTATGCCACATGCTCAAGTCATCGTGCTAAGCCGTATCTACTAGGCTACTAGGAAACATAATAGACAATATTAATGAAAAGTGATCGAAGATGGTTTTATGAAAAACTTCATATATGGATAGAAAGAAATAATAAACAATTTAACAACATATATATGTCTCTCAGTACTGATTACTGATGTAGAAGCTACAACATGTGAGCTTTTGTCCTCGATCTTTTACATAACTTTGCCACATACTCAAGTCATCGTGCTAAGCCGTATCTACTAGGCTACTAGGAAACATAATAGACAATATTAATGAAAGGGATTGAAGATGATTTTATGAAAAAACTTCATATATGGATGGAAAGAATAATAAAAAATTTAACAACATATCTATATCTCTCAGTACTGATTACTGATGTGGAAGCTACAGCATGTGAGCTTTTGTCCTCGATCCTTTACATAACTATGCCACTTGCTCAAGTCATCGTGCTAAGCCGTATCTACTAGGCTACTAGGAAACATAATAGACAATATTAATGAAAAAGGATCGAAGATGGTTTTATGAAAAACTTCATATATGGATGGAAAGAAATAATAAACCATTTAACAACTTATTTATGTCTCTTAGTACCGATTACTGATGTGGAAGCTACAACATGTGAGCTTTTGTCCTCGATCTTTTACATAACTTTGCCACATACTCAAGTCATCGTGCTAAGCCGTATCTGCTAGGCTACTAGGAAACATAACAGACAATATTAATGAAAAGGATCGAAGACGGTTTTCTGAAAAAACTTCATATATGGATGGAAAGAAATAATAAACCATTTAACAACTTATTTATGTCTCTTAGTACCGATTACTGATGTGGAAGCTACAACATGTGAGCTTTTGTCCTCGATCGTTTACATAACTTTGCCACAGACTCAAGTCATCGTGCTAAGCTGTATCTACTAGCTAGGCTACTAGGAAACATAACAGACAATATTAATGAAAGGGATCGAAGACGGTTTTATGAAAAAACTTTATATATGGATGGAAAGAAATAATAAACCATTTAACAACATATCTATGTCTCTCAGCCTGACAATTTAAACAACACTCATGGAGAGGATTAAGAAGCCTGCGATCCAGGTTCCTAATCCAAAAATTTAAGCTATGTATATATGCACCAAATGTCTCTCTAAGACAATTTGATTTTAATAATATATATTTTCCTAAGAACAGGCTTTTGAGTTGTGATGAAGTCCAAATCTTTCCTTGCATTATATATTTTTGCTTTTGTGATTTCAGAAACAATTAACAAAAGAATATTGTTATAGTAGAGCTAGGAGTGAATTGCTTAGATTAAAGTGTGTATACCAACTAATTCCAATGATTTTTTTTTTTAAACTAACTAATTTCAATAAATAAATAAATAAATAACTAAATCCCAATGATCTTATGATTGCGCATGTGTGTCTTCCCTGAAATGTTTGTTTTTTTTGTCAATAAAGTCTAGCCCAGTTGAAAAGGGTCTTGACTTGTAGATCAATTGTCTCACTTTCGAACCCCCATAACAGTGTGTGTGTGAAAAACATTCCCTTCCCCTTTTAGTTTAGACTATCTCTTGTTTATTATTATTAGTTTTTCATACAAATTATATTCTACTTTAATTTAATCTAAACTACGGGGAGAGGGATTTAAACTCATAGAGGGTGGGGTGGGGTGGAGAGCACATATGCAATAGCCAACTTGACTAAGTCCATGTCTGCAAACTATTGCTTATATTAAAAATAAAAATAAAATTATTTTTGTTATAAAATTGAATAGAGAAAGTATATGAAAGGTAAGAGTAGTTCTCAATAGCTCAATGCTCAAGTGTCTTATTCATCTTTAGTGCATACTATTTATAAGCATAGGAAATACATCATCATTTACCACTCTTAAGTAGTGGGTTACAAAACATAATAACCAATGATAAATGTGGTATTTAGTGCATAGGTTACAACCCTATAATGATAGATATAATGATGGGTATAATGGAGGAATTACAATGGACTTATGGTGAGCATCCATAACCTTTGAGGTTACAACACTCCCCCTTGGATGTCCATCATGCATGAAGTCTGCCTCGTTAAAAATCTTGCCAGTAAAACCCAGTGGGACAAAAACTGGTCGAAGGGAAAAAAAAGTGCATAACCATGTGTAACATAAAATTCTGTGCATATAACACTGACACGCGTGCGACACTGCCTCGTTAAAACCTTGCCAGGAAAAACCCAGTGAGACAAAAACTTGGACGAAGGAAAAAAAGTACAGTGTGTGAAGATCTTATTGATGACACGCTCCCCCTGATGCTCACAAAATATCTTTAAGCCATATTGTTGACCATATTTTGATTGTCATAATTGACATTGCTTCCGTGAATCAATCTTGCAATATTATTGGATGATCCTCCTGAAGAATTACTCCTCTTGATGTTTTTATACTTCTTTGATAATCCAACATAAATGATATTGATCACACATCCATCCTTTACAGAGTGATCTTTGGTAATGCTTATATAAAAATTTCTACAA